TATTTATTACTACAAAAATTAAACAAAATATTCCATTACACATATTTAAACCTAAAATTTGTAGGAGCCTTGGTCAGAGTCACAACAAGAAAGGCTGGAGCTTCAAAGGGCGCGAGTTTTGGAAGTTAATAGGCATTTAGCTGCACTCACGGACAGCTGGGAACGTGGAGGACTTCCAATGCACATGAATTTAGCTGTTAATTATTGCCCTCAACCACAAGATCTTACAACGCGTCTTAAACAACAGAACCACCTTCTCACAGAGGTAAGAAATTATGATACGATTAAAATTGTTTACTTACTAAATTATTATATATAATTTTAAATCAAAACACTCTATTATATAACTATAAAATATCTATATTATGTTTACAGGAGGTGAGTAAGAAGAGTGAAAGGATATCAATATTGGAAAGGGAAAAGGCAAGTTTAATAAGGGAACTGTTACAAACAAGAGTTCCAAATAGAAATAGTCAAGAAGAAGCTGTATTCTGAGAGATGATAAGAAAAACAAACATACATTTAAATAATTATATATTTATATTTAAAGTGATTGAAAAGTGAAATAACAAACTTATAAAATGTTACCTAAACATTCAGAAACAATTCTCATTGAGTATAATTGTAATATATATATATAATAGAAATATATGTATTTTTGATAATCAATTATGTCTATTTAATAAGGAAATTAAGTTACAATTTGCATTTGGTCCAGGGCCATAAGATTATTTATTTTTGTTAATAACTAAATAAATATATTATTTATCTTTTTGAGTTTCTATTTCTTTCCAGTTTATTCCATCATGCTTCACCTGACTTTCCACAAATGGAGCTAACCATGTTAAATACCATCTTTCTCCAAAAACCACTTTTATATTGTCCATCAATCCTAGGTCATAAATCTTCACTTTCATTTTTTTCTCAGGCGTTATGTATCCTTTACATAATATATGTATATGATAATATGACAAAAATCCAGTAAATGCACTTCCAACTATTATTATTAATACCAGAAACATAAAGAATTGATTCCAAGTAAACTCCACAAAAACCATAGCCAAAGGAAAAATTAAACATATTACTGATTTTATTGATGATATATCTATCATATTATATATGAAACATATATTGTAAGGAGTTGCATAGATGGTAGCAATAAACATATAAATCAAAAATATTATGAAATATCTTGAATTATTATGGCCAACACAACAGCCAGAGAAAATGCAGTGATGATCCCTCTTTAAAATGCATGTATTGCATATTGGACAATGCCAAGATCTTGGTGGTGCAATACATTCACACACAGAACAGAACCTCCAATTTCCCAACATATCTGTTGGTAGGATTAATCCCTGAATACTTGTGTCTATCAATATTATAGCCATGAAATTTGTCACAACATTAAACAATATGAATGTACCCAGTATAAAATGGAAACAATACCAAAAACTCATTATTGAGTAAAATACTGGTAACACAACAAATAGTTCAAACCAATACACAATGGGGATTATTATCCATAGGAAGGTGGTCACTGCCCAATCTTGAGGAACTTTAGGCCAGAAATTCTTCTTTAATCTCATATTTCACTTTAAATGAACTTGTTTGATTTTAAGTCAATACTGTTTCTATGCCAACTAGTACTAAATATATAAAATATATATTAAAGGCTAGCACATATACATTAATACCACTGGGATGTGGTATATAATAACATGAATATGCAATGAACCTATTATTTTTAAGGTTATAAACCTTAACTATGTTTACTTTTTTAAATTTGATATTTCATTTTCCGACAAAAGAGGTCACCACCTTCGACCTTCAATGTCCAATTTCCCAATTTGGTCTTCGTATTTGCAATTTATTGCTAGAGGTTATTATTACAAACATTGGAGTTGGTGCATCAAATGTGACGATTTTCTAACCGAAGGTCAGAGTTTGTGCTGAAGTCAATTGTATATTTGGTAGACTACACGCCACTCTCTATGAACAAAATCTTTCAATGTTTAGGCATGTTTGAGGCTGGCAAATTTTTGTTAGTTCGACACAGGCTAAATGGATTACGGGAGACGAAATCCTCCTATAAGAAGAATGTTTTGGCTATTTTAGGATGTGCCAAACAAGATGCAAGAATTCGACTATTTGGCAGAAAACAATTATAGAGAATATAGCCAATTATAAATGTTCTTTTTATGGAGCTGAACTATTTAATAAATAAATCTCATCATTGAAATTCTAATGTTTTAGTGAATTTCCGGAATGATTCCCAGTGTGCTTTAAATTTTAACTAGACTTAAATCGTAATAGATCGATTTTGGAGATGGTTAAATGGAAAAAAATAGTATAATATCAAAATTTATTGGTTATGCTGTTCTTGAAGAAATATATTTAAATCTCTTGTGTCATTTTCATTCAATAGAAAATAAATATAAACAAATTATATAATTATAATAATATTATAATTGAAATTTAAAAATTGAAAAATGAAATTCCCAGGTGGATTCCGCTTAATTTGTCCCGATTAAAAAAACTAGTACTACATAATAGAAAATGATATAAATTCTGGAACAATAAATATGTATCAAGCGTGGTCCATCAATGGATGCGGCTCAAGCACAGTTTTGTTTCCGTTCATTAGGACTTGTCCCTAATAAGCGGTTGTCTCGATTAACCTATGTCCCAATTAAGCGGAATAAAAAACAAAAGTTATTAAAAACCAATTATTTATAATATTTTTTAACTCTACGTTAGGCAACAGATGAAACATGTACAATTTGTTTTTCAAAAAATATGGTAGCTATATGCACTTTATCCCACTATAGACTACTACCGCCCACTTAGATCGTTACACCCGAAAATATATTCCCACCTTCGGAACCATTTCGGTAGTATAATACCAAACATGATAACAGTATAATATTGTATGCAATAATAGCCAATTAGTTGTGGTTTTATTTTGAATATTATTGGTATTTTCACGCATATTTCTGCTATATTATATTTCACATATATCTCGGAGTCTTAACAGAAAGATTAATCGATAAATTTGAATCTCTGTTCGCGCATGATTCACCTGTTGCGAGATGCAGAGGATGTTGTGCTGTAGCACCAGCTCCACTTTCATTTGATATCCATTGAAAGACGACGCCTTAGTCCTACAGAAATAACGTTTTTCGTATTTTTGTGAAAGTAAATGGAAATTCTGCTTAAATTAACAATAATAAACGGAAGATTTAAGATATTTTTGAAAGATATTACGAGTGGATTGAATTGTTAATAATTAATAACAAAAAAGCCTAATATAAATGCATCAAGGGAATTTATTGGGTTGTAATTGGGCGAGAGGTGGAGTCGCCGGGTCCGGAGTGGTTAGGCGAGCTCACCCTGCATCTGGGGCCCAATGGAATGTGCAAGTTGTTCGTGGAAAAGTAAATGGCAAGTGTCTCTGGAATGCCTGTAAGGCGTTAAGCGTCGGCCTTCTACTTATGATCCTTGGTGGTGCTATGGCAACTATAGGTAATGTTGTTGTTACAATAATTTCCACGTAATTTCATTTTGTTATTTTATTTCTAGGCTATTACGCCGACCATTTGTCGATTGCACAAGAGATTCGAGGTAACCATACGATTAAAATAAAAAACGAATCTAGGGGATTCCATTTGAATAATTTATCGTATGCTGGTCCTATCGTCATGGGAGTTGGAGGTAAAATTTCTATACTTTCATAATAATAATTTTTTGGCCAAATATAAAGAAACATAAATCCAAAATATATATAAGTTACTAAATACTTCTATCCAATGATCATCTACCATACATTTTTGGCCAGATTTTCAAGTAATAATTATATAATTTCTATTAATTTTATTTGTTATATAAACAATAACATTATTAACTCCCATAAATGAATCATTCATAATCTAGTATATTTTAATAGAAATAATGTAATATTTTGCAAATAATATCAGTGAAATGATCCTAAATGACAGTATGATAAAAATGAAAAGGTATTTATAAATCAAATTACAGCCAAATTAATTACAAATGGGCTAATGAAAGATCCGGTCCGAACGCACCCACATCAATATTAGTAATAATAGCATTTATTTTAACAAATCATACTACATTATCAAAAAAACATAATTTTGAGAAGTTCATTTATATGGATAGGAGAGGAATGTTCAAAGAGCGGGAACATTTACTTCCACAATGGCGGTGTTCACAAGTATGTTTATTTAGCTTAACAACAGATAAGTAACGATACACAGAGAGAGAGAGGCAGGATACAAAAGGGTACTTACAAGACACAATAACGAGAACCTTACTGGCTAACGCGGCGCGACACAAGAGAACGATTACACTTGACTTAGAATTAATTTTTATTTAGTTGTTTGTATACATACATTTGGATAGGTTATAAGGGGGGTGGCGTATATGAAAGCTTTCAGCTCATCTAGGCAGAAGGATTACAGATATCTGGCCGCTTATATACCCTAAGCGGGTATCATCCTTATCTGCCCTTCCAGGTATACCCGCTACGGGCTGGAGTAGGGCGTACCGAACCGAGTTAGTACGTCACGTCATATTCGGGCTGAAGCAGCGCCACATTAATATAACAAGAAAAAAAAAGCAAATATAAATACACATACATATATCAGTAAGTAAATATTTCTCGTATACATTTTATGTAATTCTTGATATTGAGGATTATAGCATCGTCAAAAGAATGAAAAAAAAAACAAAGACATGGGAATGGGGAAACTACTGCTCATTAACAACATCATCAATTTGGCTTCACCGCACAATTTGGCTACACAACCACTTTCCAGCGCCATACACAACCTAATCACGTACATTATACACTCTATAATTGTCCGTCACTACTATGGTCATTACCTCCACATTACGCATTCGACATAGTTTGTCGCAGCTGACTCATTCATAAACTAATAAAAATTTCCCATCACCTATAAAATTATCTACTGCAGCTTCCATAGTGATCGGAATTTGTTTTTCAACAGTGCGATCCTCTCTCCTATCTTTTTCAAAATATATTGCACAGACAGGAGGGGGCTCCCTAATAATAACACAACTCATTTACACTATCAAAAAGTACTAACAATGATACCGAAACCTTGGGTCTTGAATGAGAAGATGACCTAATCCCTTCAAGTCTCAACTCCTTGACATCCACCATCGACTACCACAGGGGGTCGGCAATCAGCTGCTCCAAAGTGGAGCGAGGTTGATCACTCCGAAAGGTTGCTGCAGCTTGACCTAACTCATACCCTCTTATGATTTTAATATAAAATCGAAAATAAAGAAACCGCTCACCTCGGCTCCAGTTTTCCCGCAACCTGAACTTATGTCACTTAATCAATCACATTCCTTCAACAACCAAACTTTGCCTTCATCTTATGACAGACCTGTGATACATTCGTTCCTTAGAAACCGTTTCTACTCAAACTAAGTGTTCATCTGATTAAGTACCCTCACATACCCTCGAAATATCACCAATTCGAAAGAAAATCAAACGAAAAGTCCACCTTTACTACAAAAAATTTATGTTACTACATCGACATAATTAATAGAACTTCCTCCTAGGATCACCATATTCAGTAGCATGAAAAAAAACGCGGAGGATTTTTTTTATCAAGCAAAAAAAAAAAGATGCGTTAGTTTCTCAAACTTTTTCGTTTTGCGACGCCCTTAATATATCAGAATATTTCCGCGGCATCCCAAGTCAAAACATTCAGAGCAAACTTTAAGTCAGTATTAACGTGTTTCCGCATATATGAACTTTTGAAAACAACTAAAAGAAGATATCAATCCATTTGAAAGTGACACAATCGATATTACAATTGCAAGAATAATTGCTTACTTATATTCCAATACAATAATAATTTATTGCAACAAATTATAATATATACTCAAAAAAATAAATCAATAACATAATATAACAAGAAAATAATAAACAAATTGATCTGCTACAATGGGCTATTGATGTTCTAATACAGCGGTTGCCAAAGTGGTGGTCCGCGGACCACTAGTGGTCCGCGAGAAAATTTCGCTCGTCCGCAGAAAAATGTGGAATATACTTACTCATCATGTTAAGTTATCCTATTAGTGGTCCGCGGGAAATTATGAATTAACTGGTTCGTGAGGTCAAAAAGTTTGGCGACCGCTGTTCTAATACATTTAGCATTAATTTATATTTCGTAAATTGTGAATAATCAATTTTTTGGGCATATTTAATTGGAACAGCATTAATATATAGTAATATAATTCTTGTATTTTTTGTTTTTAGGATTTATAGTCGTGGCTGCATGTGTTATGACATTTGAAGCTAGAGATTCTGCTGGAAAAGTGGTACCCGCACGTCTGAAAACTGGTAAGATATTCAACTTTTTTGTTTACATTTTTTTACAAAATTTAAATGAATGATTTTATACCATATATTACACAAATATATAATGTAAATGCTTCAAAATACAAGATAATATATATATTTATTAGAAAATTTACAAAAAATCATATTCTATAGGCGCAATTTTCAGTTACATTTTATTTTTCAAATTATAAAATATGTCCAATATTCTTGTTTAAAATAATATTACGTTTATTTCATATGTTTTTTTTTATAATTATAACTAGAGAATTCTCTTCTCGTAACAAAATTGATTGTTTTTGATGTTAAATATTTTGAAAGAGTTAGTTAGTTTATATAAACATTATGACTGCAGTTAAAATATTGGAAGAACCGATGTCATTTGGATTAAATATGAAATAAATTTGAAATTGAAAAATGCGTTTAGAATAAAATATATAGGATGTAATTCGAACGTTGTACATATTGTTATTTCGTATGGTATGAAATTTAGTTCAAAGCGGAAACAGAAGACAGAAATCAGATGAAAAAAAAATGAAAATGTATGTTGTGTGTCCGGATACAGGAAGTGGAATACAGTGTACAGTACACAGGCAGGGCGAACAACACTCAACTCTTGGATCACTCAGAACACAGGTCGGGGTGCTATCGGGAGTTGCTCCGATTCCAATTAAAATTTCCGCCGACAGACACGCCGTTACACAATCATTCATGCAGTTTTCCAAAGGCCTTGTTATCGAAGGCTGGAAACAAAACGATTTGCTAAAGGTCTCGCAGGTTAGTTGTGTATTTTGTGTACATTGATAACCAAGATAGTTATTGAATATAATCGTCGCACACACGTTTTCCAACAGCGACCAATAGGAAAACGCAAAGCGAAAACAAAAAGAAAACACAAATAAAAATAAAACGCTGTATTGATTATTTAAATTTCAGGCCAGTAGCCGGGAGAGAGGGAGTGAGGCTCATACTAAATATCCTACAACTCTGAATTTATCTATCACTTAATTTATTATGTCTGCGTGTAATTTGCTCAGAAAGGTTACAATTCTATAATTATAGTCGTCTACATATCATTTTCGCACTTCTCCTTACTAATCATTTAATACAAATAATATATGCATTAGTTTAATAAAAAAACAATATTCAGAAAATCTGGATTCATCATATCCAAATGTATTTTCAATTAGTTGATGCAACACTTTGCTCAACCTGTTTGAACTTGAAAGATGTAATCGATCGTTATGTTATCACGCAAGGTGTTGGTCACGTGGCTCAATCCACCTGACGTAACTGTGACGTATATAAAATCTCATCTAAGTTCATATATACATTATAAGATTATACAAGTTTCTTGTTAGACTATAACGCAATATTTATTAAATCGACAATTTATCAGTGTCATAATCTGTATATTTATTAAATAAATATATTTGTCAATGATAAATTGTAAATGAGGAAATAATGATCAGTCATAGGTAAAATTATAAAGTAAGTTAAAAGACAATTTTGTTTATGACCAAATGGAAATAGAAGTTGACCGTATGTGCATTCCCACGTCTCCTTGTAATTAGCAATACAATACAATATTAACTCAACTTCATTGGACAAATAAGTTTTTTTTTATGTCGTGTAATTTTATTTACAATCTGTTCATCAATGTGAACATTGAGTAAATTTAAGATCGCGGTTGACATTAGGTACGTAATCTTTCCCGGTGGATAGTTACCATTATGATGATTTTTTTTAACCTCGTTCATTTGACTGTCCATCTGTGATGAACGATGACCCTATTACTGCAGGCACCGAGAGAGCTCACAAAGGGCCTGCCTTCCCCTGGATTTGAACTTGTGACCACTGGCACGTGGGTAGGGCGACTTAACCATTCGGCTATTAGTCGCCCTTGACAAATAAGATGCCAAAAATAATAATAATTAAATAAATATAGTTATTGTTTTATAATTTAAAAAACAGAAAGATGTAACTGGAAAATTTTAACTGACTTTTTAGTTAACTCATAATCCAGTAAAAATAATGAAGATATTTAATTAAAAAAATGTGTGTATACTCAATTCGTATTTTGTTTTTCTACAGTCGCAACTGGCTACTCAAAAGTATAATTATTTTTCGGGCCAACATATATTCTATCGTACGATGATTTTGTGCAAATTTTAGAACGATTATCATAGAATCCTGTTTAGTATCATAATTTTCCACTAGCCAACCTATAGGGCTCGGAACATAATATTATTCATAGATATTTATTAACCCATGTTGGGGCTATCGCACAGGATCTATATTTATATATGTTTCCACTTCTTCAGTTTCTTTAATTTAAGGAACCATATAACATAACGTAAATACGAAGATGTATACAACGTAGATTATATTTTCTCCAGAGACCAACGATGTATTATGTATTTTATTTCATCATAGTAGTAGTACCTCATATCAATCCACTTTGGCGAAAGTGATACAATGTTATATAATGCTTAGGAGTTTTCGGTATTCTACAGATTGCTTAGTCAATGTATAGAACACTTTGATGTTGAATTATATATGGCATTGAAGTATTTTTCGTTTTGCAGAATTCTATTAGTAAAAGCCCATCTGCGCCGGACCTCATAGATCCACACATAAACGAGAAAAAATCGCCACCGCCGCACCCACATAGGGAACGTAGAAAGGCTTATCGGGGCCACAGGATAATCGGAACTGGGTGCAACGTCTTGAACCCAAGTCTCTTACACAGGCATGCCCTTTCCGTGGATGAAACTACTCATACTTACCGGTAATTTATATTAAATATATTATATATATAACATTTTATGTAATGTTTGATAGTTTAAGCCATGAATCGCTGCAAGGGACTGGAAGTCAATGCTCGATGGCTCTAGACTTGCATCTGGAATGTCCAGTAACTTTAAGAATTCGAGACCGTAGAAGAAATCCATTAATGCGACAGGGCCGGGTAGATGAAGATGAAAAACATCTTGTCGAAGCTCATCGATCTACTTCACCGAGATTACAAAAGCAACACTACAAAACGGGTATATAATTTTTTTTAATAACAAAATTAAATTTTGGGCGATGGCGGAGAATTCGACAACGAAACATCTTTCAGGGACTTATCCAATATGGTGTGTTTGGTGGGTGCCGTTAAAACTTTATCAATTATGCCAAAACTTTGGGCCTCCGTCGGGTTCATGAACTTGTCTCGTTCCATACTCCTCTCGACGACTTCCATCGACATACCCGTGTGCTTTACATAAAGTTCATTTATTTGACGCTTTAATTTAATAATTTCTTCGGCTTGAATTAAAATATCAGTTGCTTGGCCCTGAGCACCTCCAGATGGCTGATGGATCATAATACGAGAATTCGGCAACGCATGTCTCATACCTAAAATAAATTGGAAAAGTATGCGAAAAACCATCAACATTGTTAGATGATTGTTTTCATTTCATGTTTAATATGATATAAGCATAATAAAGTTACCTTTGGTGCCACAAGCAAGTAAGAGAGATCCCATACTGGAGGCTTGCCCGACACACCAAGTGGCGACCGGAGGCTGTATGAATTGAATCGTATCATAAATAGCTAGACCGGCAGTAACAACGCCTCCAGGCGAGTTGATGTACATGTGGATAGGTTTGTGACTTGATTCGGATTGTAGGAACAGCAGTTGAGCTATCACAATTGCACTCACAGTATCATTAACGGGGCCCATTAAGCAGACTATACGTCCTTTGAGAAGACGAGAATAAATATCGTATGATCTCTCACCTCTTCCCGTCTGCTCAATTACAATAGGGACAAAGCTTAACTTTTCTTTTCTAGTGCAACGGATTTCAAGCAACTTGAATAATTTAGAAACACCTATCTTTTTGACCAACATATTTTTTTTGGGACTCTTAAAAATGATTATGTCAATAGTACTATGACATTTTTAATGACTTTTCACTTTTGTGTTTTGCATGTATGTCAAGTCACGTCCACTTCCCCAACGTTCTGTCCGGATCGTAGAAGTTCGAATACATCTGATTGCACACACAGGGCAAGAACCAAGAAGAGAGAATGCCCACATTCCAGAGGACGACTCGAACGAGCCATTAGTTCAGATTCCCGTTTGATCGGGACTAGATGTTTCCATCATACGCCGCGACAAAATTCGACGGAGGTGCCGGGAGTGTCCAGCTCAGACACCGATATTGCCCATACGAAACTAAAATACTTTTTGACTACAAATAAATAAATCGTCTGCAGATAGCAAATATGATACAAATTCTAAAAATATGTTAATACTAGTACTATTACTTCTGTAATTAATAACTTTATTCACATAAAAACAATTGAAAATGTCAACTGTAAAATAAAATTTAATTCTGAATTTGATATACAGGGTAAGCAGTTTCAATATTAATAATTTTGAATTGTAATAAAAGCTATACGTTCCATATTAATATTTTTGATATTAATTTTCAAATGGGTATTTGTTTTTTTTTAATTAAAAATATTGGCGCGATCTTAAATATTTCATTATAGCAGCCTACCTATTAGAAATAAAATTGAAAACTTTGCTAAGCATTTGTTATTTATTTCATGACAAAATCTATTGATATTAAAATAAACAAAATTTTTATCACAGCCGTTAACTTAAGAAAATTAATAATTCAAAATTATATAGAAATATTTCAAACATCTCAACAGTAATATAAAGGTAGCATATTATTATTTTATTTGATTTAAATGACTACTACCATCATCAGACAAAAGGAGTATATTATTTACAAAATATTACAAAATATTTACAAAATATGATTGATTTAAATAAAAAAATATAATCTTGCGCTGTGTAGTTTCTTCTTAGTTAAGTAGGCATTAATAAATCGAAAGTTTTGTTAGTTTTGTAAGGTTTTAGAGCAACCAGACATTTAAGTTTAATAACTCTTACTCCCCTTCCATTCTCATTAGCAATAACATCATTTAGTTTGTATGGGCAAAAATACCTAAGTAAATAGTTATAAATAATTTGCATTATTACATAATTATTTTGGTAACAATTGCAATAAATAATAATATTATTAAAAATATGTTAAGAATTTATTTAGGAAATAAATATTAATAACTAATAACACAATGAAAACTTCTCTTTAATGATTGTAAAGAATTTATTTAGCTTGACTTATATTCGCTTGATTATATAATTATCTCGTATGTAATATACTATATACCTGGCCTAAAATGAATAAAACCATTGTCAAATTTATTAAGTTGTAGAGCAGAGAATTATTGTTTGAATTATGTAACCGAACAAAGAGAACTAGAAAAGCATAATTGACGTAGGTCTCCTATATTCACACACACATACACTATGAACGTTATTGTACAAGGTGAAATATTTTTTATATACCATATATAAGGCTGTACAGGTGTTTATTATTGGCTTGCGTGTTCGCATTGGGGGTTGAGAATAGGTCATTTTGGTGAAGAGCGTGGCCGATGGTCAGTTGGCTTAACGCTGCTGTTGAGGTAAGAGCGGCGTGGCGATGGGGTGCGCAAGCAGCAATCCACTTGTCGAGGGTGGAAAGAACATCGTGGATAACGTCAAAGAGACGAAGGACAATGCGGTCGCGGTTGGTGAAAAGGCTATGCAAGGTATTTTTAAACTTAATATATTAATTAGCGTAGAGATATAACAATTAGTAAAATTACGTAAATGTAATTTCACTAAAAATATACATATTTATTACTGTAAACAACAGTCCATAAAATAAAATGAAATATTGATTATAATATTCAATCATAACAGCGGCGGCGTGTTAATTCAAATTAGTTTTATTTTTAGTTGTAATCATCTCAACACGGGCACGTGTTTTAACTTTGATTTTTCAATCGATTCACTTATCGGACATCTCGTATATTATTATGTTTTATATGGATACATTTGATGCAGAAAATATGAAGAAATTAATTATTTCTAATATAGGAACATTTGGCAGGTGACTAGGTTGGACCACCATCGTATAATAATGTTGTTTATCAATCGAGCACTTTGTTAGTGAGCAGTTATTGCTTTTTACTATAATAGTAGCTGTTTCGTGCTTTATTAAACATTGAAGAAAATATTTAAAATGCATTCAATTTTACAAAAGATACAACAATATCTCGCATAGTCCGGATTTACTATAATCTAGTTTGAAAGTTTTAAAACAAAATAAATTTTAATTGAGCAAAATAATTGTAAATTCTAAAAAAATAGATCACTAAATTATGTTTTATTCAGAAATTATCGTTTTTTCTTACAGTGAAGTCTGTGCAGTTTACTTTTAAGATTAGTTCCGTACTATGCGAGGTATCGTTGTAATTTATTAAATTTGTTATGAAAATGAAGAAAAAAAAATATTAAAGAAAGCATATCAATCAAGTCGAGAGTTTAATTAATTATGATATCAATTTTATGAACATTAAAATCTATTTTAATACTAAAAAATATCGATTATACCATAATTACCCATATATATTAATAATTCCACTATTTTTCTTTCATCTCTTAATAAAAAAATAATAAGACTATATATTTAGAACATAAGTTTTTGATCAAGCCTTAAAAACAAGCGAGTATATTGACTTGCTGACTACCTATATACAATTTCAAGTGAAACTGAATTATTCAGCAGGAATTGGAAGCATCACAATTCCAATAGTAATCAATTATGTAAGTGCTCGTAAAAACTAATTTCAAAATATAAGACCAGATGAATTGTGCACGATTAAAAATAAAATTGAAGTAGAAATTAATTCCATTTATCAACGCAGATCTCTTAACTGCATTTTCTTTTTAAGTGCTCCTCATAAATTGCATTTAAATATTTAAATGAGAAAGTGATTTTAATGTGTTTTCGCAACATCGGTTCTTTCTTCGTAGCGTTTTCTTTATTTTCCACGATTATACACAGATCTGTATCTAAAATTTAACCTTTATACACCCTGCGACTTCGCCATTAATTAATGATTAAAATGACCTTTAAACGAAGAAAAGGAATTTACTTTATTCACGATTATATTCTTCAGGGACAGGTTACTAATTGTGTGCAGTGAAAGAAATTCTAATCGTTTTTCTTTAGTCGCGTGCTTAAGCTAGAAGTATTTATCTAAAAATAGATTAATATTTAATTAAATAAAATCATTAACTGTTTGTTTAATTGGAAGTGTGTTGTATAAATGTCGATGACACAGGAAATATCGATGACGATTATCTTCAGGTTGAATAGGGCATATACAATCATTCGCGTGGTAAACTTGAGCTCACGCCACGATTAAAACAATTAGATTTTTAAACCTAATATTTGATTTTATCTAACTAAACGATCTACGGTCTTATATTTTTTTGGTTTATAGGTCAAATTTATTAGACGGAGATAAGTATTTCTGGCAACTTTACACGCAATTCCGTACAGTGCTCTTTACTACATGATTATTTATCACGTTGACCAATACTGGCAAATTGTTATTATTTGGTAGTAGTAGAGGAAGTAAAATATGAATATTTATGAAATGTTTCTATTTTTGGTCTAAATTTAAGAATTATTACATATTTTCAAATATATTCACATTTCTTTAATTACTCTTCCATTTGAATATAGCCTGTGTTGATAATAACTGTTGTTTTATTTATAAGCAAAATAATACAGAGATAGAGATAACTTATATACGAAAAATATTAAGAATTAAACAATTTAATCTATTAAAACTCTAATTTGAAGAGTTTAACGAGTTTAGATGTTTAATAGTTTTAGAGCATTTCATTCACAATCATGATCGTTGCAAATTAAATTTTACTATTATATATTCCGAGATAACTTTTAATAGTAAGTTTAACAAATATACAATTAAATAAAACTACATATGCTTGTATTATAAATGCTCGTGTTGAGATAGACTTTGCTTCAAAAGCCCTGAAAGAGCTATTGCACATCAAGGACAAACTTTAATAATCTCTTGAAAACTGCTTGTACAAGAAACTCCTAATGATGTGTATTGTACAAGCATCATTTATGAATACAAAATATATATTTCTACAATTATTTTATTTCATATATAATGAATAAATGCAAAATGAGTTTTCTTGTGATTTATATTCTTGTACAGTTTTATTGTATAAGAAAATATCGATTAAACACATAATGGACTCGCTTTTCCTGACCTCTTTCCATAAGCGGAGTGAAATATACTCGCTCTAACATGAAAAACAAAATATTAAATAATATACATTAATTGGTTAAGCCTTCAATTAATTATACTAATCATTAAGTTTTCTTATTTTAATGTTATTAGTTAATTCATGTAACATTTTAGTAAATTATTTTTTCAGATGCCGGTGAAGTTGTAAATTCTGGAATGGATCATGTGAAGCATGCTGTTGAATCTGGCCTAAATACAGCACAAAACAGTATAGGAACCTTCGTGAATTCCATTGAGAATACCATAAGCACGACTAAGTCGAGTGCAACAAATGCGGCAGAAAATATAGCGAATAAAACTACGGAATCATTAGAAGAAGCAATATCGGATGCAAAAACAGTTTTAGTTGGAGATGATGATATTCACAAAGATTTGGATACATTGTCGACGACGGCTACTATTGATAAACTCGAGGACGATACGAAACATGAATTTGGGGAATCCGTGGAGCAGGTGAAAACTGGTGTCACCGAAACATTACACGTAGAAGATATTGAGCAAACGACAGATGACACAATGGTGAATACTGAGACGAAAGAAGAGGTTGTGTCACCGCCCGCCAAGGAAGCGAAGCCGGAGGAGTAAGTGTGTGTCTCATGTGAGTCTATCATAAAAAAGAAACAAGTTAAATTTGAATCTAATAATTAATATAAAGGGCAAGTAGCTGTGCACAAGCTACAGAAAAACACGAATTAAATGTTTATGAAAAAGTATGTTTACGTGTAAGCTTTTAATTCGTAGGATTTTCACAACGAATGCCATTTTCATTATTTCTTAGAGTAAATTTTATAACGTAATAGAAAACAAATTGTGTTAAATTTAATAATTGCTTTTGCATATTTTATAATAATAGTTCTTGCTATATTTGATGCTCGTGAAAAATTCATTAATATTACTTGGAAGATTGTAACGGTATTACATTATCTGTTAATAATTTATGTATGAATTGCATTATGACGCATGAAAAAATATTGCTGTTTCAAAGAAATTTTAAATATTATTATAATTGTACTATGTAACTACATACACATGTATATTTCCAAGATTTATTAATTCTCACGTATAAATATAATTTCCATTGTTATTTATTTATAGATCATCGATTTGAAAAATCTATAAAATGAAACATAAAAAAGCTATATGAAAAATTAAAAACCTCATGAACTCTATTGAAAAGGTTCGAGGTTAACCATACTGTGCCCAGCAAATTTAATAATAATTACTGTATCGTTACTTAATAATAATAACTTTATTATCTTAAAATAATCATTCACGTTCCATTTTTTATTTGTTCAAAAAATAAGTTTTAGTTTAGCTTTTTTTTATATAACATAGAACATTTAATTCATAAAATTAAAATATGTTTTACAGGGAGCCCCCAATAACACCTTGGGAAGCTGCAGCGGATGAAATAGTTAAGCTAAGTCGACTGACATCAACAGAATTCACTATGCAAATTGACGATAGTGACTCAGATGCCACGGCAACGGACGTATCCATTATACACAATTACGACAAAGAAAACGCTGGAGACATTCTGTTATGTGACACACTTTCTATCAAGTCATACAAAAGTGAAATATAATATTAAAATTAAATTATAGTGTTCGTAATGTATGTGCACACTTTTTAATATATTCTAGTACTAAAATGTTGACTTTTATTTGTTAACTTTATTGTAGAGAATCGTGTCTACTTTCATTTATAGTCTTTTATTTTCTTTTTGATATTCGTATGCATGTACATATGTTTACATTATATAAAAATTGTTATTAATACACACTGACAACAGATATTTATATTATTATATAGGAATAAGTTTTACTATTGATTATTATTGATATATACATTTTTTTACCTCACTTTATTCATTAGTTGCATTAATTATTTAATTAAAATAGTATATATTACGTGGAAAACAAACAAAACTCACATTTTATAAATGTACATATATAAATAGAAAAAAATACTATTTGATGTAATGATTGATTGTGCGTTTTGTCACTGCGCTTTGTATTACTACTAAAGATTTGTATTTTTAAATATTTTTGCACACAATGTATTTATTAAATGAATAAGCAAGATGAATAAAATATTTTATTATATTATGTAACTTATTGTAGATTCTCATTATTTAATGTAGTGTAATGTAGCTTTTTTTGTTGTTCCTTCCACTTTAAAAATATATATAGAAAAATACAACAAATTCGACAACTTATTTTTAATTTCTAAAAAATAACAAGGATGAATCTTGATAGTCCATATCATTCGATGTGCATTCAGTTGTCTAAAAATTTGTTGGGTCTAGAAATTTAGGAATTTGACCCTTCAAAGAGTTAAAATAGTGATTTTATATAACTACTGGGTATAATAATGAGAAAATAAATCCGAAATTAAAATTTATAAAATTATTTAGTATAATCAGTAAAATTTATTCTAAAATAACGATGTGCTAATTTAGTGAGACTTCCGTTAAATAACTTATCTATTAGCACTTCAATTGCGTTACTTAATGCTATTCTCATACAAGAGTCGATTTGGAGTCGATTAAGTTTTGATATTGACCATTGTGAAAATTTCCTTTTCGCACATACATGTGTAAGCAAAAGGCAATAAATATTGTATGACGATGATGAACAGGTACGGATATTCCTTTGGAATATGTATCCAAAATTGTATCAACTTTTTTTCTTGAAAATTGAATTAAAACTTATGTCAATTCAAGCAGTGTTTATAAAATTACTGAAGAATGTAAAATAACATGACTTTACTTTTCCAAAGTAGATAAAACTTTAGCAGTCATTTGGAAAATTGCTCACTGTGACTAATATTTTCGCCTCCCTTTAGACTAGTCCGCGACTCCCTAGTGTAGCGCGCCTCACAGTTTCTACACACACCAAAATAATATATAAGGTTCTAGAACATATTTTTTTTATTATTTATATTTTCCTTATGTGTATGCCCCTCAGCCTCGGTTCTTTCGGTACGCTCCTTGGAACCGGTATTTTGAGCGGGCTTGTTGGTTTACCATGTTCTATGTCTTCGTTCCGCGACCACGCATCCAACTCATCATTTTTGTTTTGAACTTCTTCATGTCATTTTCTCTTCTTACTTCCTCCGGAACCATGTTGTATTGTGCAACGCCCTGCACCAGCAAACTCCTGTTCATTATGTTAGTTGCATTTTGTTCCATTCTTTTATTTCTTCTAGCTCTCGTATTATGATCGTGTGTGTCACAGCCGAAAGACAGGCCTATCCGGGTCTTAATATGTTTTTTTACTATTTTGTGTATCAGAATGTTTGTCTGTGCCTCTATCAGTGTCCCCACATCCAGTATCTGCGTGTCACGGCTATTTTAAATGTTGTCTTGTTAATGCTTTTAAGTTTTCTTTTGTTGTGTTTCCCCACACTGCCATCTTACACTTGTCCGGGAGAAATTTGTTTATTTTTTTCACACATCCAATTGTCGTAGCATTTTTTTTGTATGCCTATGTGGTCGTCCCAACCCAGTTTGTTGTTCAATAGTATTCCCAAGTATCTCTCTTGTTCTACTTTTTTTATGCTGATATTGTTTATAGTGATGCTTAGTCATGTAGAGTGTTTTAGTCTCGTTTATTGTTAATAGATTGTCATCGTACCATGTCTGTAGTTTAATAATGTCGTTGATGCTGTTCTGCAACGCCGTTTCCTCCCTGTGTCCGTACAGAATACATGTGTCGTCCGCATACATGTATATACTTCCCTCTAACTCAATGTCGGCTATGTCGTTAGTATACATATTATATAACGTAGGAGCAAGGACTCCCCCTGGGGACCCCATATTTGCAGCACATTCCAGAGCTCTCTGTACTCATCATCTGGACTCGCTGAGCCCTACGTGTAAGGTAAGACTCAAACAGCGCTGCCTCCCGACCAATCACTCTCAAACTCCTCATTTTTTGGTCCCTCTGTGGACCGTGTCAAAAGCTTTTTTTAGGTCTACAAACACCGCAACAGCACTCATATGGCTGTCCAGAATTCTTCTAATCTCCGTAGTCAAGTCCAGCAGCATCGCAACCGTACTCGACCTTTCCTGGAATCCGTACTGCCGACGATTAGTCAAGTTGTTGTTATTCATATAATCGTTTAATCTTCTGTGGATTACTTTTTCCACTATTTTGGCAAACACTGATGTTATCGCAATCGGCCTGTAGTTCTCCGGTCTATCTTTTTCGTTATTTTTAAAAATTGGTGTTATTGTAGCTTTTTTTAGTACGTCCGGTACGCTTCCGGAACTCAGAATTTGATTTGTTAAGTCTACTAATTTGTGCGTTATTTCCTGTTTTAGATATTTAATTGTTGAAGTATTTATCCCATCACTGCCCGGCGCACAATCCATCCCTCAATGACTCTATTATCTAATTTATTTCTTTTTCAGTAGTTTTGTCCATTTTTACTTGTTTATTTGTTATGTTTGTGTCTTTATTCCCAGTTCTATCTATGACTTTTTTTTGCGAGCTCCTCTCCAATCTAGCAGAAGTATTTGTTTAGCTGGTTAGCGATCTCCTGTCCGCTTGTAAGCATGTCATCTTCAGATCTCAGTTTCGATATTTCCTGCGAACCTTTCACTTTTCCCCCTAGCATCCTATTTATTTCTTGCCCTGTTTTCCTTACTTTTCCTTTTTTCTCCTGTTCTCCATTCTATGGTCAGAGAAAGGCACCTCCTCTATTTTTCTTATCATTCCGTTTTGGTTTGTTAATACGTGGTGTGGCTCAGATTGGAGTTCCAGCGTGTGTAGTACTTATTGTCTATTTTGTTAGCTATGTTCTTTTATAGTGTTATTATAGTCCCTTGTTATCTTGTTTGTTTTATCCAGTAGATTAATATTTAGATCTTGTTTCTAAAAACTATAAATGTCCACGTAAGAATGTAATAGGTGTAATCATCCGTTCTTGAAGTGCAATCGATTTAAAACTTTATAACAGTAATTCCATATAATCATAATTAAAAGTAGTTGATCATGCAACTAGAAATAGGCAGTAACTTAGGTAACCGAGAGATTTTCGTTTTCAATTGTTATTCGTTTCAAACATTATTTTTGGATTGTTTAAAATATATATTTTTATTTAGTAACTTTAAATAAAAATATTAGCGTTTATTGATACATATATACAAATTATGATTGAAGTTTAGTATTCGATATAGATTTGGTTATCCACTTGATGTTGGCATTTATTAATAATATACCAAGCTTTATTTTATATTAAATCAAATAATTTGAATTTTATGTGGTTGTAAAGACTACTATTCAAAAATAAAACAGAATATTTAGTGCAGTTGAAAAAATAATTGCATATAATCACTCTTTTATTAGTAATTGTTATACATGCTTCATATATCTAAGTTTCTTCTACAGATTAAAATAATAAACTGTGAATATCATATCAGGAAAAAAAAACCTTATGCCATTGTCCTAGTTGACTAAATTAAACAGTGATGGAATGCAAATACATATATACAAACAAATTGTATGAGAAAAATAGGAAGAAATTGCACTACACTAAACACTATGACCATTATTAGTTGAATTATAAATATACGTGACAAATTAAAGTAACTGTAATATTTAATTAAATAATATATATATATAATGTTTACGTTTGCAGAATGTGATTGTATATATTTTATTCATGTTATTTTACAGGGCAGTTAAGTAATTATAGCTTTTGATTTTAACGAGGTTCAATTACAGTTTCCTTACAAATTTTGACATTCCTGATTAAAACATATTATAATCACTTAAATGTAAAAACTATCCATCTCTGAATTTCAACTAACTCTTTCTTACTGCACTATTATTAAAATAATGCAGAATATAAGAATTTTACTTTGGTAGATGAGCTTCAATGAATTTCTTAACGTCGTTCAACTCTTCCTCGGAAGAGGTGTGCATCAAACCGCCATATGTTCTGAACTCTGGAGATTTCAACATAGTTTTAAGGATGGAAGCGGTCATTTGGCCCCATTTATATGGAACAACAGGATCGCAATCACCGTGACATTGCAAAACCTAAAAATACCAATCGTAAATTATTCATGATATATGTTTTCATATTGAAACGTACTTGTAACTCGTTAGATGTCTTCATCTCCTTTGGAAAACTTTTATGCAGTGGTAACCAGCAAGAGAGGGAAACCACTCCAGCCAACTTTTGAGGATAGATGAAGGCAGAATACAAGGCAAGTGCACCACCCTGAGAAAAACCACCCAATAAGATGTTGCTTGCAGGAATGCCAGCTTTCACTTCATCATCAATCATTGTGTGGATTTGTTTTGCAGCCTTTTTAATTCCTGTTAATTCAGATGTTATCATAGAGATATTGGGATTTATTTTTATAAACTTACCTTCATCATCTTCTGGGCCACCAATATCAAGAGTTTTAAGATCAAACCAGCTAGGCATACGAAAACCTGCATTCAATGTCACTGGCATTGTTGGGGCAGTTGGACAAATCACTTTTACATGAGATGGTCGGATAGCAGTCATGGCACTTGCCCATCCTTGGCTATTTAAAAATAATTAATTAATAAGAATATTAAAAAAAAAACAATCAATAATATTTTTTATAGATACTTCTAATGAAAAACTTTAAGTTTCTTACATACGAACATAGAGAAAATTGCTATTTTTAAATAGTTAGTTTATAAAAGCCAATTAATTTATATTTTAAATGCAAACTGCATAATTTTAAGAACAGACATAGTGGTTTTATGGCAGGTGAAATAATCAATAAGTAGCCTCATTTGATGTTAGATTGTACACATTATTTTCTTACCCTGTATCACCCAATCCATGCAAGAAAATAAGCTAAAATTTAAAGAATATATTTATTATTAAACAGAATTTCATTAATATGATCTTGAATTCAGAAAAAAATATTACTTACGGTAGCCGTGTGTTTCGCACTGGCAGCAATAACAACAGGAGACGCCATTTCTCAAATAACAAAACAACTCGGGAAATTGAAAATACCAGAAGAAATCAAATGTCCCTCAAAGCTGTAAGAAAGCAAATAAAAATACACTTTCCTTATAAACACGAGATTTCTTTAACACTAAAAATTTTGACGTTAATACCATAACAGCTTATGTCAGAAAGAACCTCAATAGGTTTTCAATGCTCCGTTGCCACATGTCTACCATGGATTAGCAGATTATGTTGTTCTCTTGAAACAGAAGAAATTCTCTTCTTGTTTACGCTAGCCAATTATTATATAATATATATTGTAGTTTTAATGATACGCTGACTATTTCTTCTTAGTAAAGTCCAACTCTTAAATGGAATTTATGTGGAATAGTCTCTTATTTAGAAATTTGGCAACGGCGCGATTTATTTGACAAGTGAAGCTTGAAGGTTTGCCTATGTTGTATAACATTTTTGGATGTTGGTTTGATTGAGTTTTGGGAGTTCCTTGTAAATATATTAATTTAAAAAAATAGTTTTTCATTTTTATTTATTTTTTTTGTAAATTTATTAACCATTGATTGCTGGACGGCTGTCAGTACATTCCTAAAATAAAATTGTTAGTTTCAACGTTGAAAAGTGACTGTGGGGTATGTACGTCCTATTTTTGTTTTCTTGGAAAGCGTCCAATGTCCAAAAGAATTGTTTAAAATAATATGATTAAATTATGTCATTGGCTACTGGAGTTTACTGGATTTTCGTTAAATGTTACACTGTTAGTTTCTAAACGATCTGATAACCTATTAACATTATTGAACTATTTATCTTGCCACTGACTTGTGTGTATATTTTATATATATATATAGCATTTAATCACATAACATTTTGGCTCAAGTTAGCATAGTATCAGATCCCTATAATCAGTTTATGGGGCGACAGTGTACAGACTAGTCGTCGCAACACATCTCGCTCTTTGCAAAAATTTTCAAATTTGGAAATAGTTAATATTTCAACGTAATTGTCACATATTTTTGGATTTTTTTTAGAGGAAGTAAAATGTCCACAATGCGTCTGCTATCAACCAATCTTATCTGTCGCCGTGGGCTGAAAGTGCGCGGTTCGATAATCGCGTCGCTAGGATGGGAAAAATCAGCTGTCCACTGTACAACAACCACTGCTTCAACAGTCTCGACAAGAGCGATGGCTACGGAACCGCAGAAATGTCTTACCATGGACGATCTGAATCCCAACATCAAGGTGATGGAATATGCTGTTAGAGGTCCATTGGTCACCAGAGCCGGTGATATCGAGAAGGAACTGCAGAAGGTAAGTTATCGATTTTACTGTTTCCACATATTACGTGAATACTATATTAAGATATGTATATAGGAATGCGTGCCAAAAACAAAAAGTTACGAAGCTTCTAATAGAAAAAATAATGTTTTTTCTTAATAGAATCAAAACTAAAAAAAAAACAAAATTTTTGTTTGTCAAAACCTTGCATTTTAACTTTCTTTGAACGACAAATACATGAAAATAATACTGAAAGTCATTTTACTATAATTTTTAAAGGCTAAAAATTGTTATTAAACTGTAAGCGGCGATTGTGGTGGCACGAAGAGTGATTAAACATAACCGGAGATGCGTCATTTATCCATTAAACCATCGCGAGAACTTCTATAATAAAACAATTTTCTGTATTACATACTGTATATTACGCCAAATATACAACGATTTGCCACGTTTAGTGAATTAGTATGGTCTATTAAGACTAAAAATAACTAATTTTGTATGTAAGAAATCCCAATGTTTGCAGAAATTTAAACAAATCTGGGACATCATTTAACCTTGGAAACGAAAGTATGTTTCTGTTCAAAAGAAGGCAGTTAAGAGAATTAGTTTATTTTTCAAGATATTTATATAGGTCTTAATTGTTTATAATAAAATAAAACAATTATTACAGTTAATCATTTTAAATGACATTTGTTTATGACTGAAGTAAATTAAACTAATCTTGCAATTGTGCAATGCTCTTAAGGAGTTCATTAACATTTAAGTGTGTTAATGACACATATATTTCGACCAGAGTGTGGAAAATTACATAATTATATATTTTTATTTAATTCTGTTTTAGATTTAATATTTTTCGTAATTATATCAAGTTTTCTATTGAATTTAAACTGTTACATACTAAAAATGTTCATCAATGTCTGGTAAATAACAACTGTATTAAAAGATCAATAAATAAAATAAAAAATGAGGCTAGCTATCATGCGATACGACACGGCAGAGCAATTTTGTTGCTCGCTGTGTTGTAGTGGGCTTCTTGTTATTAATTTTCCTATTATTAAATTATGTTACTTATTAGATTTTTGAAAGTAGTCGATCTATGTCACCCGGAATTTAAAAAATAACAAAGTTGGTATTATGTGTGAAAAAATAATTTACATTTGAACAAAATGAATTGTTGACAGAGTAATGTGAAGGTTTGTGTGTTTGTAATGCGCAATTAAAATTATCTGAATTAAATAAGCATACATGAATAAAAAGTGCATTACATACGCAGAAAGTATTCCTGTTCCTATTCTAAGATTTTGTTAACTAAACTTATTGTAAAAAAATCTATATAAATTTAAATAACACATTATTTAATGTATTAACTGGGTCATGATTATTAATGAAACTGTGATTACTATGAGGTCATTATGATGAAGTATATGTGTACTTATAATTTCAATATGGTAATAGATAAAAGTTCTTATGAATTACGTTAAAAACTTTGTGGGTATCCGTGTTTGAGTCGTACAAATTGAATATCTTATCATTAAACAATTATAAATAATCAGTTGTGCACTCTAAAAATAGATTAAACGCAATCGCGACACTAAAACAATTTATATAAGCGATTTATAAAATATTAACAATTTGAAATTGAATTGCTTTCGCAATTGTTAACTAAATTAATGTATACAATTTACATATTGATGAAATTCAGCAATAGTCGATAAATAGTAATTAATATTATAAATAACATTAATCATTATCAATGTTTTATTAATCACTATTGAGATTGTGCTTATTTTGCTGAATGCTTTATGATAAACTTGAATAATCTCCGTGCATATTCCGATTAATAAACATTGCATCTGAATATTTAACAGTTGTAAATTAAAAAAAAAACTTGCTGCATAATAGTATTTTATTTTATAAGAAGTTTTGTATAATTAACAGATTTAAAATAACAAAAAAAACTGGTTATTTCAAAACAAGTATTTATCAACTAAAAATATAACTTTCTGTTGCTACGCTATATCATTAATTGTATATTTCGTCAAAATAATTAATATTTTTATCTTTTTAGGGTGTTAAAAAACCTTTCAATGAAGTTATCAAAGCAAACATTGGAGATTGTCACGCTATGGGACAGGTCCCAATCACATTTATTCGTGAGATCTTGGCTTTGGTGACGTTACCAAAATTATTAGATGATCCTCGATTCAACGAAGATTGCAAGAAACGCGCCCGAATTATTCTGGAAGGATGCAGGGGTGGATCTGTCGGATCTTACACCGATTCGCCTGGTATTGAAATAATTAGAAAACACGTTGCTGAATACATCACGAAAAGGGATGGCGGTATCCCATGCGATTTCCAAAATGTTATTATTAGTGCAGGTATATCCATATTAGATTCATCGTAAATGCAAAATCTATAGCAGTATTGATTTAAGGTGCTAGCGATGCAATTAAGAATATTTTAAAATTATTAATTTGTGATAAGAATGGAAAGAAACCGGGTGTAATGATTCCAATCCCCCAATACCCATTGTATTCTGCTTCTCTGGCGGAATTCAATATGGAACAAGTTGGATATTATTTAGATGAATCTAGGGGATGGGGACTCGACAGTGCCGAACTTCAAGTAGGTTTATATTGTTTATAATATGTATGAGCAATTTTATATTTAATTAATTTTTCAGAGATCATATGATGAAAGCAAAAAGACGTGCAATACACGTGCGTTGGTGGTAATTAACCCTGGAAACCCGACTGGACAAGTGCTATCAAAAGAAAATATCCAAGAAATCATCAAGTTCGCACACAAGAATAAGCTTTTCATTCTCGCAGATGAGGTTTACCAAGACAACGTTTACGCTCAAGGATCCAAATTCCATTCCTTCAAAAAAGTAGATCATTTCATAATAGAGTATAAAGAAATATTTATTCAAATTTAATTTTAGGTATTGATTGAAATGGGAGAACCCTACAGCAAAATGGAATTGGCTAGTTTCATGTCTTGCTCTAAAGGTTACATGGGAGAGTGCGGTCTTCGCGGAGGATACGCTGAAGTAATTAACATGTGCCCACAAGTTAAAGCCATGTACATGAAGGCTATTAGTGCTATGCTTTGTCCAACCGTATTGGGTCAGGCTACATTAGATTGCGTCGTAAACCCACCGCAAAAAGGCGAACCTAGCTACGAAACCTTTATGAAAGAAAAGGCGGCAGTTCTTGACTCTCTGAAGGTAATAACTAAAGAAAATTGTTGATGTCATCTAATAAATAATTTTGTTATTAGGTAAGAGCTAAGATGGTCGAAGATACATTCAATTCCATGGAAGGATTCAGCTGTAATCCAGTACAAGGAGCGATGTATGCTTTCCCCCAGTTCAAACTCCCGCCGAAGGCGATCGAGGCTGCAAAGAAAGCCAACCAGGCACCAGATGTGTTCTTTGCATTTAACTTGTTGGAAAGCACTGGAATCTGTATCGTTCCAGGCTCTGGTTTCGGACAACAACCTGGTACATACCACTTCCGTACCACAATTTTGCCACAGCCCGAGAAGCTTAAGGAGATGTTGCAGAAGTTCGGCGACTTCCACAAATCATTTTTGCAAAAATACAAATAAATATTAAGTATTAAATGAACATGATGATATTACGGTTTAGGTCACGATTATATTTTTTTTTGTCACTCAAAAATGAATATTTTATATAAATATTAGTGTTATAATTGTTATTGTTTTATTATTAAATATAATACCATATTACGCATTATGAATAACTTGAATTCCCACTTATATTATACTTATACAGCAAATATATTTCGGTGAAACTGATGAATGTCATCTTGAATACGAGTTGTGGATTTGGAACATAAATGCAATTGACAAATATAAACTATGATAAAGGTTTATAAACTTAAATAAATTACTAAAAGCAACACAGTTCGGACTTTATGCAGTGAAAATTATGTATTCAAACGCATCAGTTTCCGAGCAGAATAGTAATCACAAATGTGGAGTTTTATAATCAGTTCAAATCAGTATATATTTTATGATTTATTAAGATATTTACTAATAATTACCAAATTAGAAAAACGGGGACTCGAAAAATTGTCGATGGCAATCGAAATCCCAACAACCGAAATCCCGACAATCAAAATCCCGATAACCATAATCCAGACTGCATTGAAATACAACCATAATTCCTACTATATCAAAATCCCGACTGTATCAAAATCTCGACTGTATTAAAATTCCGACTATCAAAATCTCGACTATATAAAAATCCCGTTTATTATTAAAATTTCTACAATAACATTTTTAAATTAATCCGGAGTGTTGTCACCATCTAGTACACAAAATCATAACTCCCATCTGTAATATACATACATAAATGAAAAATAATTATAAATACATAGAAATGATTTGTATTCTAAACGACGTAATAATATTATAATTATTTCTCGAAAATTAAGAAAACTGATATTTCTGTCGAAATTCTTATTCACGATTAACAACACAAATGCCAAACGCAAACATAAATGCAATCGTTGCAAAACATAATCTACGTCGTAATAAGTAGAAAGTTTTCTCTGGTAGATAAATACTTCCATTCATACACATGGAAGTATTAAAATCTGAAACATTTAAGACAATTATTTACATACCATAACGGAATTGTATATAACAAATGTTGGAAAATGCGGCTTCGAGAGCCATTTGCGGCAAAGTCACCGCAGAGAGTCAAGTGCAACCAGCAACCAGCAACCATTATTATTTAAACAAACTATGTACACATTTTTATATATATATAAAATTTATTATATAAAAGTATAAAGAGACCTCCACTAAGCCTCTTGAATGATAAACAAATATTAACTCACTTCACCGGGTGTGAACGGGAATAACTGTTTCACTATACGAGTCAAATTTTGGAACGAATTAAACTCGTTAAGCGAGGTTCCACTGTATTTGAATATTGTTACTAAAATTATAAAATAATTATTTTCTTTTATATAATTATATATGTGACTTGTGAAAATATGTAATTGTGTATATATTTATAAAATATAAAAAACTCATGGTATATAATATGTATAATACTTTGTCGCTAACTAAGCCTAGAATTGTAGAACAATGCGCATTTCAGACTGATTTAAAAAATATGTAATGATCTGTATATGTTTACCATTATATTAATATATATTAATATATTTTTTCCAAAATCTCGGTATCTAGATTTGCGTAAAAGTAACACTCGTATTGCTTGTTTATCATGTAAAAAATAATATTTTTGACCTGTTTTTGTAAATTTACTGACTTTTTTAAATTTGTAATGATTTAAAAGTTTTGTTGTTACAAAAAACAATATTTAAAAAGAGATAATTATTTTTTTATTAATATCTCAAAATACTATAAAAAACGACATACAACATTATTATAGACAAACAATAACAGTATCAACAAGAATTGATCAAATCAGATGTTGAATATTCATTATATAAGTATTTGAAAATATGTAATGTCAACTTTGTCAATAAATTAAGCCTTACTTTTAAAATATTTAAGATAAATGCAATCAACGAAATCAGAAATCATTCGGTGAATGCTCAGTAGATGGCGGTAGAAATCAGGTTGACTATCAATTAAAAATGTACAGAATTATACAAAATGTATACAGTTTTCAAATTTGATATATTTATTATTCTAAATGTTTCATTTCCCATATATAATTAAATATAATTGTGTTAAGCCACCTAATGCTTAACACAATTCCATTTAATAGAGCAAATATTGCTAGATGGTGTGCAGAAGGAAGGCAATAGGAAAATAAATAATATTTGCTGGTTTAAAAGTAGTTAGAGACGTGTACTATTTCATTATTACATGCACATACTATTCTGCACTTTAATTTTATTTGGATTGCAAATTAAAACTTCACAAAAGAAGTGAACAATGGCTGATCACGATGAAGGTGAAGTGAACGAAAGAATGGAATATATTTGAATATAAGGGACGAAGATAGCAGTTCCGTATTTGGAAAATGCAGTTATCCTATGCGTCTATTAAACGACCCTAGACAAACGATTCTTCACTTGTTGACCGTTTTATGAACTACACAGCGCCGGTGGATCGCCGCTATCTGGAAAATGCCTTAATTGCAGTCCTCGAAGGGCGTCAACGTCAGCAATTCATAAAAAACGAGGCATTTAAGCATGCAAGGTTATAAAGTACCTAGTTTATGAAAATATTGCGGTGATATACTATACATATTTTTACTATTTTCAATAATAATAGGTATAGAAATGATTGCTTCTAGTAATAAACATAGTAATGATTTTTATATATAAAATTATATAAAATATAATAGGGCGCATTGTATACTTTGTTGATGTGGAGATAAATCTGCCCAAAATTATTTAGAACTGATTCGCATATATTTACATTTATTAATAGACGTGCTGCATTACAATCATCGCACAATAAACCGAAAATTTAATATAATAATTGAAACAAAAAGCTGCTATCAGTTTCACATATATGAATAAAATATGTAACGATAATTAAACGGAAAACCCAAATTCAATTAACATTAACTTATCGGGAATTAATATAATATTATCGGTTGCTGTAGCAGATCTATTATTTATTAATATAAAAATATTATATATGTGAAACGCTAAATGGCTGCAATATGCATATTTAGCAAACTATCAATTATAATTATATAATTAACAAGTAGGGCCAAAAACAACTTTTTTGACTTGTTGTCAACTTATTCGTGAAGATTGGACTGATTAAAAATGATTTAAATATTTTTTCAAAGCTGCTGAATCCGTTAATAATTTTACTAATTACTTCTTCGCAAGCTTATTTATCATTTTCTATCATTAATTCGTACATGTATTTAGTTTGCTTTAACAAAGTGGCTCTTCCGATTTTAGTTGATCATTTGTACCGATTGTATAATTTTAGTTTTTATTATATGCATATTTTAAGGCAAAAATAATATCGTTGCAAGTGAGAAATACTTCAATTTATCTGTCTATGTTGTGTTAGTTATGACACTACTTAACTTATCTGAAATCTATATAAAATGAAATATTATATTTATGAGTCAATAAATGGTATTATTATTGATGTACTTCAGAAGCTTTTATATTATAGAGTAATAAGCACCTAATTAATATTATGTAAAATTAACTTTAAAAGAGGTTTAAATAGTCAAACATGAATGTATACAATGTATTAATTCTGATGTAATGTAATAAAATATATTTAAAATCACAACAAACTATAGTGATTTATGTCTGAAAAGCAACATTCCAATTAATTTATACAAATGTGTATCAATTTTGAGCACTGATTTAAAAATCAATTACATATTTTTTGTTACGTGAATCTTCGTAAAGAAAACCATAAATATGTAAATTTATTCTGCAACATTGCAAATGCTTTTTTTTTCAATTCTATAATTTAGAAAAACATGTCAATATTCCATTGTAGTTATTTTTGTTTTTATCAACTAGCGTAATGAAAACAGAAATGTAATTACAATTTTTTTTTCTCTATTCTGTTTATCTCTATTCTGCGACAAAATATAATGCAATATTTCATGGATTTTTTTTTAGATTTTCTTAAATTAGACTTTGAACCTGCTAATAACTGATTTATGAAAAGTTTCGATGAAATAGATGTGTTTTTAATGTAAAAAAAATGAAAGTTAGACACTTCTTAAGGGCGCTTCATAAACTAGTTACAGCACTGTACGAAGGATAAGACACTCCTGAGCATAAAAAATAATCAAAACCTATTTAAATACAATAATTTAAATATTATAGCCACATTAATTTAGTATTAAATTGTTATTCAAACATGAAAACTCCCTTATTGGGACAGATAAATATTTTCTTCATATATGCACATATTTTACAAACAGAAATATATATTGAAACTAGGAATCAAGAATAGAATAGAAATGAAAATTTATTATTCAGAAGTCCTGCATCATTATAACCATGAATTAAATTTAATGGCAGATATTTCAGTACAGAATGAAATGTATTCGTACAAAGAATAAGAATAATCGATAAAAAAATATCGACTGAAAATTGTTTCCACTGGGATTACTATATTAAAGCGGTCATTAATATTGTGTTTGTTACAATCGGTACAAACTTACATCGAAAATGTATGAAGCATACTTACAATCTTATATTAACATATTAAATTCATTATTTTTTTTATTAAAGATATAGATGTCAGTAAAGTCTTCTTCTAAATATTTTGCAAACATTAATCCTTTGTAGTCTGGATATAATGAGATGAATATGTATGAAATAATATTGATCTTAATTATAGCAAAACAATATTTTATTCCAATTAAAAATAAAAAAAATAAATATTATAAATACTTTAAATTATGCAACAAATATTTCTTTTATATTGAAAATATATTGGTGTGCAAATGAATCACAATAATTTATTAAGTTTTAATAGAAGTTCCATACATTAACAAAAAACAATAAAAATATGCACGGTTATGGTTTAAAAAAAGCAAAATTCATTGAAATAAATAACACTTATGAAACTTAAAATGTGCATTCACGTCAAATCGTATTTAAATCACTCAGACTTGTTCGAATTTACTGCCAATGCAGAAGAAAATATCGTTCCAACTCGACACTTATGGATTTTACTGTAACAAGATAAAACAGTGTTCTTCATTTCTCTGCTTAACAACGAAGTGCAAAATTGTCAATTTATTTCAAATTGTTTTGGTAGAATCGTATTGGGGGTCGCAGAATTTTTTTTAAGTGCAAAAGGGGGTCGCGGACCAAATAGTTTGAGAAACGCTATGACGTCCTGTTATCCAAAAACAAAGAGATTTTCTTCCTAAATTCATTTTTGAGGCACTATTGCACTTCTTTTGTGGGTACAAACATTTTGTTTCTATCGCCAAAATTTACCAGTAATTTCAGTAATCATATTGGCCTGTTGCAAAAACGGAACGAAATTTTAATAACGTTAATTTCTGTTCAACTCTTTTTTCATTCAATTAATTACTCAATGTTATACTTCTAGACATTTCAATTTAATGACAAATAGTTATATAAGAAATATGACGGTAGATAGAGAGAAGAAGAATTTTCGTCTGAATTCGGTATCATTAAGAACATTTTCGAATTTTTATTTTGTGATAGAAAACTTTGAGGGTAGTGTACCGGTACTAAAAGTATTTGATGTTCGACTCAATTTTAAATTTTAATTTTAACCGGGACTAATCCGGAACCGAACCCAAACTAAACCGAAATTTTTAGACTATCGAAAACCGAAGATGGAACTATTTACTTGGAACGTAACCGTAAATCGGAATGAAAATAATTTCGGTTCGAATCTGTGTTTCTAACAGGATTGAAGTTAGAAATTTGTTATGACAAAAATAGATGAACTTTTTTTGAATGTACGTTTCAATATCTTATTATTAAAATTTCGTTTCGGTTTTTAAATTGAGCTTTTACGTTCCGGTTACAGTTAGGGTTGTGTTAAAAAAATCCGGTTAATTTCGGCTTTAGGTTTACGGGTCGGTTCCGGTTTACATAATCATGGAAATATTATTATAATTAAATCTTAAAAATAAAGTTTTTAAAGTTTAGTAAACATTTCTTAATCTTCCTAACTAACCACCGGATGTCACTCAATGTAGAATTATAATTTACGCATACTTCCGACCCATAAAAAATCACAGAAATAATGGAAAGAGGTTTCCGGTATGTTCCATGAACATGCGAATTTATTAATGTATACAGTATTTTTTGATTTACGAACGAGCAAAGCACGTTTAATAAAATAACAATAAAACGCCCATTCACAAGCTGCTGTTTTGTATTGTGTTTCAAATGTATAGGGCTCAGAACTAACGAAATTGTTTTAAACCCGTCAAAGCGTAAAATTATTTTAAGATGTTATACAACAAGTTATATATTCAATTGTTCAGGATAATAAGAGCGAGGAGGCGCTTGCGTGCTACCAGACCAGGACGAATCCGTCGTCCTGAAAGCGCACTCCAGTTCGCAGTTCACTCGCGTCCCTTCACGTGCTCGGAAGGGTTTCAGTATAGTAAACTCCTTCAGAGCTGTGAATCTACATCGCTCACCAACGAGAAAAGTTATTTATTCGATCGAAAACAAGAAGAAAGTAATAACAAAAATATATCCTGTCATAACATTATGCCTTTAGAAAAATTGATGAATCCAAATAATTTAGAAATTATCATTTTTTTTAATAATATACTTTTTTTCTTTCGATACATATAATGTTCATTCAGATTTTTTTTTCAGTTTCAGATATTGTCGGAAGAATTGTATCATGAATTCAGTGAAAATGCTGCACCTCCTAGAGTAGACCAGCTAGCGAACTAGAACGAGTTAGTAGTTTTCGTATAGGGAATACATTACATAAACTTTTGTCATTTTCTGGAACGTAGAGTACTCTGTGTGTCGGGCATTGTTTATACGTGGACGTACGAGAAATTAAATTTTTAAGAGTGCTTTGCTGTTGATTCAGACACATAGAAACGCGAAACGGATTTTATTTAGTGTCGCGCGGTTGCGAAGATAAATTGCTACAAGCGGGAAACAGCGTCGGAGAAGAAATGGGATCGAAAATGGTTTACCTACTTGCAATGGTTCTAATTGCAGCTGCGGGCTTTATAACAGGTGAGTAATTCCTAGTAAACATTGTTATTTTTTTTATTTTATCCTTTCCGTCGTCACATCCACATCCCGATTACTTCAAGTAAAGTAAATACTTTAACTGTGTAACTTTTTTTATGCTATGTAATTGAGATATAAAAAACAGATTCTGTAAATTTTAAACCTTTTAATAATTAATAATAATATTGCATCAGTCGTACAAAAAAAACATATACAGAAATAAAAAGAACAAAATAAATATATATAATTTCAAAAAAAGTTAACAGGTACAAAGGGCTATTGACTAAACATTTCATTATTTGCATTTAAGTTGGTTTGTGATATAATTATAATGAAATTCAAGAAAAAAAATATTTTATATAATTTTGGTAATAAAAAACTTTGTATTGTTTACTAATTATTAAATTAATATCTATAAACATATTTTTTTTTTAAATATAATAATAATAATAACAATTTTAAACTTATATCATTTTCTGATGATACATCATGGCATAATGTTGTTTGTCTGAGAACAATATTTTTTTAAATATTGACATTATTAATCTTATACATATTTATTAAATCAAATAAAATATTAATATGCTATTCGAAAGTTATTCTAGTATGTCCAGGAAAATGAATGAAAAGGAGAAAAAGAAGAAACGTCAAACATGATAAATTCATATGACATACTATAAGGGTGGAAGAAGGAAGTTAAAGTTGATAAAAAAAGTTCGAACTTAATCTCAAGTTGTTCCTGCCGGCATATTTTTACGTCACATACCAAATGTCAATCAAATCGACACTGGTGGAAGTTAGGAACGGACTTCATATTTGTGTATTTTGTATATTGAATATATATAGATTTTATGGAAAAAATAGAATCAAATGTATCATTACAAAGTGAATTTAAATATTGAATATACAAAAATATCTGCAATTTAAAAGTTGATAAGATTTCTTCATTTATTTTATTTATTAAACAATTTTAAGCATGGTTCTCGCATATACTGGATACATGCATCACGATTCAACGTTTGAACACAATTCTGGATTAGTGAGATGACGTTATCCATTAAATTCTACTATCTATCTTAAAATGTTTTTATAATCTAATTATTATTGGCCAAATATTCTAAATTAATTAGAAGAAACGCATTTATTATTATATTTTAAATAGACTGCAACAGTTTTTGTTTATATTTACAATCAACAGAATGGTGCTAAATATAGTGTTGATTATTAATAAATAATAGCGCGTGTTATATGTAAATATTACATTTAATTTAACTAAATATTGACAAACCCGTATGTACAGCAATTTCATTTCAACAATAATTCTGCTAATCATGAATGATTGAAAATATGTTTTTTTTATGTTTATAACGAACTATAAAATACATTTTATTTTCATTTTTGTTTGTTGCAGTAAACAATAAAAATATATTACTGTTTGAAACACAAAAAAAGATCGTAATTATATATTAAAAATATGACAATTTTTACAGTCTAATTAATACTTTTCTCATTTTATGTGTAATAATTTCTATAACTATTTCTATTAAATATAATTTTGTTCCATTTTGACAACAATTTTAATTAAAGCGCAAATAAAAACGGTGTTCAAAATTCAATTGTTATTTATATTCTGACCAATGAATTATGATTATTATTATTATTTTTAAATATTGCTTATAATTATTTAAAATTGAATAATATATCTGAAAATATTAACTAAACATTTAATTATTTGCATTTAAGTTGGTTTGTGGTATAATTATAATGAAATTCAAGAAAAAAAAATTATATAATTTTGGTAATAAAAATTAGTAAAAAAACTTTGTTTTGTTTACTAATTATTAAATTAATATCTATAAAAATATTAGATAATAATATAGACAAACCCGTATATACAGCAATTTCATTTCAACAATAATTCTGCTAATCATGAATGATTGAAAATATAAACAATAAAAATATATTACTGTTTGAAACACAAAAAAAGATCGTAATTATATATTAAAAATATGACAATTTTTACAGTCTAATTAATACTTTTCTCATTTTATGTGTAATAATTTCTATAACTATTTCTATTAAATATAATTTTGTTCCAATTTGACAACAATTTTAATTAAAGCGCAAATAAAAACGGTGTTCAAAATTCAATTGTTATTTATATTCTGACCAATGAATTATTATTATTTAAATATTGCTTATAATTATTTAAAATTGAATAATATATCTGAAAATATTTCGTAATATTAACGTAAATATAACGTAATATTTTAAATATTTTTGAATTACATTATTTTCATGATTATCCTTATGTATCTATTTTATTTATTTTTTATTTTGTATGATCCTTCCAATTAACGTTATTATAATTTATTATAAATTTCTAGAATTATTTTTCAAAAATTAGTTTCTGTCTTTATGTTAGTCGTTGTTTTAAATCACACTGTTGTATATAATCTACACATCTACTGATATCAGTAGTCCGATTTTATTCACATAATTGTTATGGAAATTATATCCAATTGTATAAATCCTTTCATATCTACTATTATAGTAACACAACGAACATTCAGTTTTACTCAACTTTTTTTAACTACGTTTGTAGAATTTAGCAATTAATCATTCCTTAGAAATTCAGGTGTAGCTATAGACATGGTTTTTAATGGGCTGCAGCCTAGAGCCCTGTTCATTTATTTAACTGGTGTCTAGGGCCAGCGACAACCTTAATGCGGCTCTGCAACACTCTTCCCTACGTCGTTAGTTTTTAAACTGGTGTCGAAGACCAACAGAAAATATATTAATTTATTGGTTGATGTTTCCTATTTTCATTAACTGCATGAACAACTATTGGAAAACTCTTCAGCAAAAATTCTGAAATGCAAACAAACCGCGTATGTCTGTTTTATTAATTGAAAAACTTTTCGAAACACTACATCAGTTTACTGTTATTTGTTATTTAATTTAAATTACCATTAGAGAATTTCAAATGTTTTAGTTGATAGCGTGAATTTCTTTGGAAACTCTACTTCAAATATTTTTACGCTGGAAGCCGCACTTTGTCATCAAAACAGCCACATACGGCTCCGGAGCCTCAGTTTGCCGACCCCCTGCTCTATACAGTCAAATCTAGTTTGTGCTGTTTATATATATACAATTGTAAAGTCCGGGTTTCAAACCAGAATACTGGCGGAACACTCTATACGAGATATAGCTGCATTCTTAATTTGTTTGTTTATTTTTCTTTTCTAAAAAATATTAGTGTCAAGCCAATTTATCGCTATCTTCGTATAACGTGTTTATGTAATCATTAAGGGGTTGGCGTTGGTTAAGGTAAGCACGGCACGGTATTTATGGCCAAACTTATTAAACATGCATATTTGCTTTCACTGCAAATTTGAATATACAACCAATGCTGTAATTGAAACCACTTAAAGCCGGGGTAGCGGCGAATTACTATACGGGGAATAGCTGAGAAAAGAGATCCCTAATAAGCCCACGGGGGCGCTTCTTCACAGCTAACACACGAAAATATAAAATAGGACCCCTGCATATAAATATTAATTATAATTTATAAATATTCAAAATTAATCCAGGGATGAAATGAAAAACGCACTTCTCCAATATAATCAAATAGAGTTGTTTAATTGACTCTTTTGAAACTATATTTTTAATATTTATTCATTTAGGACTTAAATTATTATATTACCTTTTATTTATTTTTTATGTAGTAATTTATATTATATAAATAAAATGCCTGGCAAAAAATATCAAATCAAGACTATTCACGAAATTGCGAGCGTAGGAAAAAATGGAGATAATAAAAATTGCGCAAAATATTGTTTTTATAGAAAGTGCATAGAGTATAGTTGTTGATATAACTAAATCAGATATTTAAATAAATGAAAATAATAATGATTTATAAATGTTACGTATAATGGTAATTACAAACTTGTATAAAATGACATAATAGTTCTCGCAATGATATATTTCTACGTTTTCTTCTGTTCGTAATTTTCGTATTTACAAATACTAAATATTATTGTTATTTATTTAAAAAAAAATATTTTTGCATAAGCAAGTGGATGGCTAATGCACGTAACCAGCAGAATTCGATCTTTCGAAGTACCTATATTTTTTTCTTCAAATTTTATTGCCAATAATTCTGTAATAAAAATGTTATTGCTTTATTGACTTGTTATCAACTGCCGTAAGATGCTTAATACTATAATAATCGAATTCTAAAAGGTTAAAATAATTGGAATATTAAAAAAATGTTAAAAGTTATTATTGGTTAATTGAAGATATTACATTTCTATTTTGTAAGTCTAATCAACAGTAATTTAATTGTGTTCAGTTCGATTTTCAAATTAACTTTCTTAATTGCATTGAATAAAATGTTCGGTTGCATTTAAAGTATCGCTAATTGTGTAACTCATTAAGATTTATATAGGATAGCGAGATAATTAATAACCCACTCTTCTAGTAAACTGCTTCATTAATTTCCGTGTACAAATAACGTATCTTCGTTCGCTCCTAAATACATATAAAGGGAAAGAAATTACCTAGGAGAGGAAAAATACGAGAACGGCTTTCGACGAATATCTTATTAATAGAGTAACCTGTTTATATTTGCCCATGTATTCAGCAAATGACGAGGAAAATTAATATTTTCGTTGTCGACATAATAAATTTTGTTTAATTTTCTAACCTATTTAAATTTTTATTCATAGATTTGCTGCTTTTATGAATAAATTGTTCAAAATCAAATAAAAATCTGTAAAATAATGTATATATTTTTTTAT